GCAGCTAATGTAGTAAATGCAAGTTCATATTCACACAATCACATTTTTTGTTTTAGAATATAAAAAATATAAAAATAATAATGAACTGACTTAAGAAAGACATAACTTTCCAACAAACATTACTTATTTAACCTACTGTATGTCTTATTTTACTTATTAAATCAGAAAATCAGCACTTTTGCACTAAGGAGACAAAATGATTGAACTCTACTGCATTTGGGACACGTTCAACCAAACTCATCCCATCTTAAGAAAAGTTCACCTCCTCAGACTTTAAATCAAAATATAAATCTGGATACAAAATAAGAAGTAAGCATGGACCTTTCTCCCCAGTGGGCTTTGTAGTAGGGCGACACACAGACCTAATTCCTGCTGGATGGAGACATATATTATTTGGGTCTCACACAGTTTATCTGGTGTGATTGACATGATTAAATATGATTAAAATAGGCTCACGTGTTTCAAGGGGTTGTCTGGGAAAATCTCCATATTACACAATGTGCTTTAACTGACTCGACAGTACAGGTTGATACCAAACATTCACTGTGTACTGACGTGTTGTTGTTGATAGATTATTAATAAACACTAAATGAGTACCAATTTGTTCTCAATTTCCTCACACACAGTAAGTGCCATGCAATGTGTCTTGCTGGGAACCACTACAACTAAAACATAAACTGTTAAAACATTTAAGAATAATGCACACAAAAGTGGAAATTCACAGAAATGGAAGATAAGATTCTTTAAAAAGGTTTTCATAAATGCAATTAACTTCTTGTAAGCTTAAAGGTGGGGTAGGTAAGTTTGAGAAACCGGCTCGAGATACACTTTTTGTTATATTCCATGGAATGCTCTTAACATCCCGATAGCAATGAATATCTTAAGTGCTGTGACCAAAAAATCCATAAAAGAAATTAATCTGTGGAAGCCGTAATACTGTAAAAAGCACGACCAATCATTTTAGCCGGCCCGGCTAAAATAACTGGATGGCTTACCTGCCTGTCAGCCTTCCATCTGTGCACAAACTTATCTCGTGCCCTCATTGGTCATGTGCACGTTCGTGTGTGTTGGAGGAGGGGCTCTGTAAGGAAGTGGCAGATTTTTTCCGGCTGTGTATTTTCAAATTCTAGCGCACTCAAGCTGGTTTCTCCAAAATTACCTACCCCACCTTTAATTTCTGCTAGAAAGATATTTTGTCAGTTTTTTTTACTTCCCAACCTCCTTCACAGACTTTTATTGAGTCAAACTATTTTATGAAAGTTTGCTTAATTGCTTAGTTTAACATAAAGAAGTAGTGACAAAGCTTTTTGTTTGGGCTCAATCATTACCAACTTCATATCTGTTTTGTCAAAATAAAGCTATAGACAGCAGAAATTAGCTTAGTTTAGCATTAAGACAAAATCTAATTTTAAAATGATGAACATGACTCAGACCTGCAGTTCACTTAAACTAATGAGCCACATATATTAGGTTGACACTCAAAGGCCCAATTTCAAATCTTTTAATTCTCTGTGATATATTCATCTGTTTAGTTTTCACAAAAGCACCCTCTGTTGTCTACATTATCTTCCATCTTATTTATAAGTTACAGCTGTTCTGACACTGGGAGGTGGAAAACAGAGCAATCTCCGAGGGCCCCAGATGGTGGTGATGTGTGTGAGTGCATATTAATTTGTGTCTTGTTATGCAGTTTCACTTGTTTGGGTGCACGATAGGAGCATCAAGAAAAAGACTAAGCGAGAACAAGATCTGATATAATGACAGTAGCAACTGCAGCGTTTTATAAACTTCATTGCGCTTTATCACTGTTACGTTCTAGACCAAAAATCTATCTTTTGAGTATAACAATACTTTATCCTTTGTACGCGTGAAAGGTAGCTATAACATGTTTGTGATTAGTTAAGTCTTTCCCTTACGCTAAAGCATGTTTTTACTTCCCAGGGCCTTAAAGACACAGCATACAGAGGCTTGTAAGCAGCAGCATTCATTGTTTGGTAATGCTGCTGATAGCTCACCTTGAGATCCAATTGTTAGCAGACTTTTAGTTTGTCAAGAAATTATAAGCGTTCAGATGCTTTTGTTGCAGTGATTGAAACATTTTCATTCACCATGTAAAGGTGAGTCACTCGCACTGTTGAAAGACAGCAGTGTCGTTGCACTTATAACCTTGGCATCAGACCTTGGTTGAAAACACATCACAATTAATAAGGAGTTTTCATAGGTGGTGGTGGCTCAGGGGTTAAGGGTGGTGACCTTATTGCATGTCATTCTTCCTCTTTCTTCTGTCTAAAAATGTGACATACTGTGGCTTTGTAGCTTTATTAATTGTTTGCTAAACCATGTCTCATTTTTTATTTTCAACACGTGTAGTTATTGCATGTTCAGTTAGAGTAGCTTTGCACCCAGCCTCCAATCTTTGAGGAAAACTAATCTATCGTTTCAAAGTCTATTTATTGTGAAGACTGCTGCCAAGACAATGGGATCGCTTTCCGTTTTTTGTCAGACCCTAGGAGTGCCACATTTGATAACTTATTCAAACCATAAAAGAAAAAGCAAGAAATGTATTGAAATATATGACACTAATTTATTCCTAATGTTGCTCAGTGATCTCAGTTTGCTGCTCTTCAGCTAACAGGATGGGGGCCTCATCCTCTTTTCTTAAGCCGTATGTATGTATGCAGGCAGTCTCCCTTGCTGCAACCCACACAACCACTAAGCTTTATGTACATGTGATGATGTCGGCAATATGCAAATGAGTTCATGACGTCAAGATGCTGACTTTTGGAACTAGTAATAGCTACTTTCATTGGAAACGCATTTGGTTTTCCAATGATTTGTGTCATAAAATCAAAGGGGGATCGTACTGGATGGTAGCCATATTTGTGTAGTAAATCCAAGAATTATAGAAACCAATTGACATGAAAGTAAAACATCTAATTCATAATAATAATTTAAAGCAAACACTTTAGATATTAGCACTTGCATATCAATGTTTGATCAGTAACCATTAACATTTATCATAATGCTCTTTACTTTGTCAGTTCCAGAGAGAGTGACAGTGAGAGTGAGGAGGACACTCGGGAAGATATTGGCCTACATTTTGTCCACTCGGTTACTGTGTCAGCTGCACACACAAACACACACACAAATACAGATACAAACTGTAAACCACTGGCAAATATTTACGTATACTCTAAAAAATACGTGATTTTCAAATTGTCACACGGATCATGTAGAGCTCCTGACAGTTAAATGTGTTTCAGAACCGGAGAAGGCAATATATTTGTGATTTGATATGGTCTGAATGTTCAAATTGGACTGACTGTCAGTAGAAATCTGTTGAATTTCAATTAGTCTTTCTGCCAAAGCAGTTTTCAATATAACCATTATCAAACAGAATCAGTCTGAAAATGTATTGTGTCATGTGTTATCATGTTTTTTTTTAATCAAAAACTGTTTGTGTGGACACTGTCTGAAGAAGGGAATGAAATGAGCTGCTTTAGCATACTAATACAGACATATGTCAGGAGCTGGACTGCTCTGTTTCTGTTATGCATTCGGCTTTCACTCTGTCTAGAAGGATAAGAGACAACACAAGTCAAATAAAACAAAAACATCTATGTACAAATTTGAGTTGTGTGATTTGAAATTGAAGCAAGTGGAAATAATTTGCAATCATCAAAAATGTCATTGTATAAAATGTAATTTCCTTGAAGAATATTGGCATAATTCCTATAAAATGCAATATCGATAGAGCTTAGTCAAGTTCAACATTTAAAATTGTCTGACAGAACAGTTAGAACAGTCAGGCATCAAGAAAGATATCATTACAAGACCAAACAAGTTCAAGAGAGTTTATGTGCCCATGGTGTTTGCTAGCACAGACCTGTTGTCAAAGTATACAGAGTTATAGTATGTTAAATGCAACACAGTCACTATGTATGTCACTTATTTAACGTGTTGGAGTTGCAGTGAGACTCCGCCATAAGTCCTTATGCTGACTCTGTGTTCCTGTCTATAGTAGTACCATCATGTGCTGTTTCTTTGAGGAGGTGTTGACTGATTCACCTACCAGATACAGCAGCAATAGTCTTCCTTGACATTTGTCTTCACTTCTCTGTCAACTGTAAGAAAACACTGCACAGTCTCACTAAGCTCTACATTGACATGTTTGTTTTCTTTCAATTCTGCTGCAGAGTCAAATCTTTACCAGCACGCTGTTTCTGCTGCGCGCCCTGAAGGTAAATATGCTCAAAGTGTTTGACCATGAATCCAGGAAGAAGGAGTTTTAGAAATACACACTGATAGGCTACATAGCCCAGGGTAATCATGCCTTACCTCATGTACTGAAAATGTAATTAGTGTTAAAGCTGTAATATAAGACCAGGCACTGGACCTTCAAAGCTTTGATTACATTGTTAATGGTGCAGTTGTTGCAATAGGGGATGGACAGTTGAAACACAACTTGTTTACCTGCTGCTAAAATGTCTAAAAATCATGCAAACATCGATATTTGTAATAATAATATCTCCTGTCAGATAAAACTCATCATGAAAAGATAGACACGTGTGAATCTGCCTTCTTCTTACCTTTTGTCTACTTTACTTGCACATGTGAAAGAACAGAGGGGCATGAGTCTTTTTAAAAAGAGTAAACTAATTCAAATGCAGACAAAGAAATTATAATTATATTCCAGCAAAGATACATTCTAGCTTCAGGTGTCAATAGGAGTATTTTGATGTCACATTCAGGGGTCAAGGCTGATTGTTTTTCTGTATAAGGAGAGTTTGCTGGCTGTGAGCTGCATATTTAACGGACAGAAATGTGTCATGTGTATCGTTTAGCAGATAAATATGACAAAGGTTTGTGTCGTGAGTATTTGTTATCAGCTCTTCCTCCCACAAAACAAACACTAGCTTGTCTTATGTGTTTAAAACTTAAACAAGAACGATAACTCATGTCTTCAAAACTATTTTACATTAGACAATGACACCATTAAATAGAGAGAACTCATCATATCATTTATTTGAAAAAGCTGATCACACACAAAAAAACTAAATTACAAAATTGGGAAATAATGTAAAGACAAACAGGAAGTTTACTGTTTACTGTGTCACAGGAAGCTCATCCATGAAAGGTTGTTGAGTTCAAACACTCTTTTAAAAAGCACATAACCAATGTTTGGCTTCATGTAAAAATGCCTTTCAACACAGCAGCTTTCTAATCTGTCAAATGTTTGCTAAGCGAGGTTTGGAACATTTACAGTAATTACGCTAATGTGCAAACATCTGTTAGCCCTTTTACATGTATCCTTTTTCACACTGAAGCATTGGACTGGGTGTGATGAATGATAAATGAGTACATATTTACTTTGATTTAAATAGAGTAGTCTGTTCAAGGAAATGCATATTTCCCCTATTATTAGTAAACACGTTACAGTTATTTCCAGGAAACTTCCCAGCAATTCCCATGTTATATTATGGACCCATACAACTAAATGTTTACAAAGTAGTGATTGAACAGCACAAGGATACTGAGAAAGAAAGGTACCACCAGATCAATGCACATTTTACAGAGTTTCCCCTCTCTCTTTCTCCAGTGGTTTAGATTCTTTACAATATGTTTAGAAAGTCAGCTTTTCTAAATGTATTTAGGACCATGTTATCCATCACATTGAATTGTTAATTGTATTGCTTGGTCACATTGGTAAAGCAGTTGTAAGCAGGGACAACGTAATCTACCTGCATAAAAAGATGCTCATAACGGCAGGAGAGTTGAGACTTGGTAGCTGAATATCTTAAAAGGAACAATCCAAATTCATTAGACCTTTTCACAGTGTCCATGTCTGCATTTTCATTCCAGGATCACTATAATTAGCAGATGTTTATCCTATCTGTTTCCTCAAATACACCACTCTTATAACTATAAGATGTTCCACAGCAACACAACAGGATTATGTTTTGTCAAATCAGTGAGTCTCTGCAATCTTCAAAATGTCATGGAAGAAATAGGAAGCAATTACTGCAGGAAATAAAGTAGGTAATATATCCAAAGCTACATATTTGCATTAATTAGATTATGGGCCAACATTTACAAAACCATTGGACTGGTCTTTAAAAAAAGGATAAATAATTCAGGAATATCAATTTACCATCATCTAGTCAACAAAAACCCTTTTAAAGTTGTAAAGTGCAATTAGGGACTGAGAGTTGTTTTTCAGTATTTACTCTATTTTTTGAGAGCTAAGAAGACAAAAGAGTTGTTCTGAAAGAGCCACGAAAAACTATTGACCAGCTTCAGGGTGAATTCAAGGGAAGCGAATTGATTTGGGATAATGTTAATTCTCACGAGTCTTCAGTAGCCTTCCTCCAACTCGACTGAAGGTGCCAGCCACTAAGCTGCTTCCCTCTGTGTGCACGTGTGAGTTAATGTGCATCACCTCAGACAATTTCTTGACTGATGAATATCGAGTGTTAACATTTCTGGGAATCGGAGTAGCAGTTCAGTGAGCAGAGCAAGAAAACTCTGGTGTGGCTCAGTTTTCCAACGTGTGTGTGTGTGTGTTTGGCTTCTGAATATTTATATCAGCCATCATTCTTAACTATTATCTCCCTGGCCACGTCTATACTCTGATGGGATTTTTTTCCCTGTGTTTTACAGAAATGTGTAGAATTCAGACGGCTGGGAAATAAACCCCTCCTGTTCTACCAGCCACAGAGGAGTGTAAAAGGTGCCAGATGAGCCTTCCCCTGGTGTGGTGCTGTCGGAGGAAAAGGTGACATAGGGGACTTAGGGGCCAATATGGAAAGCTTGAGGTGCTGGGAATCAAAAGGTACAATACTCTTTTTGTTAATACTATTTATCACATTTGCTGACCCTATATTTATTGCAGATAACATTCCAACCTTTGTCAGCAATATTAATTCCTTGTTATTAAGTAGAACAAATAATCACTTATACTATTATATATTCTTCTCAAAACAATTAACAATATGTATAGAAATCAAATAATATACAATCAATTGAAAGGACAAAATACTTTTTGGCATTGACAATGACAATGTATGACGCATTAGGCCTCATTCATACTGACATTAGCCCTGTATTTAAAAAACGATAATTCATGCATGGCTGCAGCACTATGCCATGCAGAGGGCCCCTGCACGGACCCCATCTCCCCAATGCCACATCATTCAGCCAATCAATTACAGACTACAACGTCTTCTGGGTTTATTATTTTGTAACGTGATCAGCATTTTTTGACTTTTTAGCCTGTAAATTAATAGATCTGAACTTCATAGATCATATTTCATCATCTCTGTACCTGAAGAATCCCACCCTTATTATTGTATCTCCTGCATTCCTGAAACACAGGGCTGTGTTCGGCCTGAGTGTCAAAATGTATTCTAAAATGACACAGATGAACACAACATTTGTAGAAGTTGTGTATGGGTGGGCCCTTCAGTGGCCCCTTGACCAGCAGGGGGCAAAGTCTGCGACTATAGCAGCAGCTCAGTGGTCAAGACAGGAAACTGTCATTAAAGTCATGATCCTATCTTCCAAAGCAGGAAAACATTTCCTTTGAACGATATTGCCGATGTCATTGACACCTTTTCAGTTCCAACATCAGTCCAGTGTTTACATCAGTAATCTGGTATAGGGGAGTTACAGTTGCCATGGTAGATATAGACAAGTCCTTCGCAGCGATAATACATCTGAAACACGTCTCCGTACCCGTGGTCCCTCCACCAGGTGCACAGCTGCCGGTTCCACCCACAGGCCAGGGGGTAAAACAGCTCCGGGTGCTCCATACCGATCATGGTGAAGAAGTCCTGGTCCCCCAGGTGGCCCCTGAAGCGATACTGGTCTGCTAGCTTGGCCACATTGCTGGGCTTCAACAGTTGGTTGTAGAGAGCCGACTCCCTCATAGCACCAAGGTCCAATAACATTACCCCGCTGTTGAAGCCCGGGAGCCCCTCAGGGGAAGGGTCGCCCACTCTGGTCCGAGGGTTCTCCTTACGATACTGCCAGAAGGTGTGTCTGAGGAGAGGGACAGAGGTTAGCATTACAATGACAGCACTCAGAGGAATGGTTTGCTGTGAGTCGTGAGCTAAAATTCTAAGTACAATGCATCTGTTTCTCAATCAAAACTATCAATTCGGTTTTCTATTTTATTTTAGTTTCAACTTTTCAATATCAATTTTAAGTTATAGTTAGATTTCTTTCGATTTTCAGAAGCACAAAAACGACCCCAATTAGTAAACATTAGACCTTATGTGATTAGATTAGTCAAATGACATTAGATCAACTTCAATATTTATTTGAAGTTCATATTTTTTAAGACCAGACTGCACTTAACAAACAAAAGGAATTCATTATGAAACAATTGCGGCATAGCGTCATCTTCTTGAATGCCAAGTCGGTTCAACTTATGTAGTGACATTTTTACGAGAGATGACGAAGATTCATGCTGTGTCCTTGATTCATTCAGTAGTTACAATTTGAAGCAAATAAATTGAAGTGAATGTATGTTCCTTTTCTATCAAGATTCAGTTGATTTATTCTGTGAATATATTGGCAATCAGGAGTTTCTGGCAGACTCAGGCAGGAACATTTTAATATGGCCCAATCCTAGGCTGCTGCACATTTAGAAAAGTGAGGGGCAACTCCGTTTCAGTCCACATATGCTGAACAAACAGCACTGCGGCCCAAAACAGGAAGAGAGCCGGTCCAGGAGTGCCAGGGCATGTTGGAGTGCCAGAGGCTCGTGCCAACGATGCACCCTGTCCTGCCAAAGAACCAACTCTCAAGGAGAAAAAAATGACACACAAAGCTTCATTCAACAAGCATTTGTATGCACAGACGTTACTGTGTACACACAAGTAAGACCTTTTGCAGGGAAAGGAAAGCTTTAGTGTAATAGATAGCACTTGTTATGTAATGCATAAAAGGTTCATTTTTCAATGCATTTGAATAACAGACATGCCAGCAACAGTCCTGTTGTATGTGTAGGTTAGATAACAAATGTGTTGACCAAAGCACAATTCCTCTGCATCCAAAAAATAAAGAAAAGAAGAAGAAAGAAATATATACATCATATGAAAAAGAAAAGCTGTGGCCGTAACTTTCTTCCAGCAGTAACATTCATTTGTGCTTTTATTGTACTTTATTTATCTTTTCATTGTTTGGGTGAAGTGTTTTGCTTCAAGAAAGTAAAGAAAATGCTTTTTCCCAAATACTGTTTCATTCTTACAGGCAACAAGAATGAATGGAAATGTATTTGTACACATACAAACTCTCTAGAGAATTGACATTCTTCTCAATACTTGCGGGAACCTTCTATGATACAATGTTTATGGAAAAGTGTGTTGCCTTGTGGATATAAGATGGACCAAACTGTTTTTAAAAACACAACTTAAATTCACTTTAATAAAATCAGCAGAGCTCTGCCTGTGCTATTGATGCAGATAAACACATGTTGGAAATACAGTAGAATAATTACGATTGATATTGTGGAGGATACCTCTCTCCCTCTCTCTGTGCAGCTTGAACAAATCTAGTGGGAGTAGCAGATTCTCTGAGTCAAGCTTTGATATTATTAATGACCTATATTTAGCAGCTGTAGCTTGTCCACACAGTGTAATACCATCCGTTGGTTTGGTAGCTGGGGACTTGTGGCCTCTGTGGAGCATTTATCTTTTAAAAGAAAAACACTGGGTCTACGTGCCCTGAGACACATTCTCTGTGAATAAGTACATATGGGAACATTTACACAGGCTTCTCAGCCCTTCTTCCATTTGTATTCAGACCCCCTACACTTTTCTAGCAGTCAGTTAGCAGACAAGACTTTTCTTCCAATCTACTGCTGGATTGACAGCTCTACTCGCAATCTCTGTCACTTTCTGCCTCTCTCTCACTCGCTCATCCTCTCACACACTCACACTCACACACTGCCCTAAACCGTGGTGATGAATCCATACATCCTTAGAAACATACTGCATGTGTCATGATGCCATATTATGTGACAGACGGCAGCGGAGGTGTATGCAACGGGTTTAGGTTGTGTGAAATAAAAGGTGCAATAAAATGTGCCCCTTGTTAATGAATCAATTCGTTTTCCAAACTTCAGCTCTGCTTTTCATTTGCCAGACTATTTAGATCTGACCTTTTTCTGTCTGCCTAAAGAGTTTTAGTTATAATAAAATGGTTCATTACAACTGTAAGATTACAGGTACGATATTTTGGGGAAAATAAGATGACTATTAACCAACATTAAATAAATAAACATGTATTTATTTTACAGTTGTGTAAAAAGACAATTTTGAGTTTCAAACGAAGTTATGTGAGGTAATAATTCTAGGTTCAGACCAGTTGCCAGGCAACAGTTGAGTTTCCAGGAAGTTACTCCTCTCACCCACGAAATAGTCTGGCACATAACACCACCTACATTGATGCTTTTACACTTAGTTTCTTGTAATAATTAAACAAATTAGATATAACGAGCTGTTTCCCATCTTTGTGCTAAACTAAACTAACCAGCTGATTGCTGATGTTTGGAAACTATCAGCAATCTAACTCTCAGCAAGGAAGTAAATAAGACTATTTTTTCAAAAGGTCATACTATTTCTCAACGAATATAAACTAAGTAATGGCAACACTGTTTCTACATTATCGGAAAACATAAATGTGGCATATCTGTTCTGAAATGTCTTGTTATCTATAGGCATACATACAGTATATACAGAGTTCAATTCTCACTTTAAATGTTAAACTTAAAAACACCTGGCAGGAATCAGATGTTATACTTATAGATATGATATAGATATCAATCAAATACATCAGAAGTATGAAATAGGATTTTTAATATTTTCCAGTCAAGTGCAAAATACCACCAGGAACTTTTTAGAGAAGAACTGCAGTGTTGATATATAAAGTCATGTGTTTACAATTGTTGTCTTAATCTCATCCCTCTCGTATCGGGTTGTTTGCACCCTTATTTTGGAGGCACACAAAACCTGGAAAGAGTTTGACCAAAATTTCAAAATAACTTGCCAGCTCATATAAAAAAAGATGGATAACAATACTTCAGTCAAATCAATAATGGTTTGTTTTTTCCCTGCTTTAGACTTTGAGAGGTACACAATGCAGCTAGGTTCTCTGTCACTGTGACATCGACAATGACGTCAGTTTTTCGCTGTTCCTTTGTACCAGTACACTCACACAGACCAAGTTAAACTAGACGTAAGACCTAAAAGCTTCTCCTCCTACTTCCTTTTCAATGTTCACTGTAAACCTTTCAAGTGAAGTCTCGCTTGAGAAACAATGAAAAGCATTAGCAGGTGCCGGGGACATTCTGTACTATTGAAATGACTGTTCTTTTTCATACTGAAGTATCTTGGCTGTGTTCTATTAAAGGAAATGTGAGCATTGATACGAGAAAGTACTTTCAAACAAAAAAGCCTACAGGGCACAAAGGCATCATTTATTTTTGTTCATTAAAATACAAGGTTTGTTATAGGCTTCAATGCCTTCTGTTCCTTGAAGATTGTGAGGGGTTGCGGTCGAATAGGCCAAAAATCAGCTCCTATCGTCTATCCCTATCGTCTATTCTTTGACCTCTGTGTGAAACGTCACGGGGTTAAGGAATAGTGGATAGGAGAATTCAAAAGGATTTAGGAGAAGAGACTGCGGTGCTTTGAGAATCCGACTGCACTTTCACTATCCGACGTATTTATGATGCGCCAGCGGACGTCATAAATGTGCGTCTGCTGCTGTTGGAAACTATGGAAACTACAGCGGACTATAATAAGAACGACGGACTACTGTATACTCATCTAGAGACTCTGCACCGTGCTCTGATGCTGTTGTTTTATGCTTTATGAACGGGGACAACAGAGAAACATATTCTTCATGACCAAAGTTGGAATTGAAATAAAAAAGGAAAGTGAAGCTTATGCTCGTCACCCTCTCCCTCCGGTCCACATTAATACAAATGATCCCAATACGTAAGATTGTATGAAAAGATTTTAAAATAAATACAAATGTATTTATTATAAACGTTAGTCCTTAACATCTATCACTGTGTATATCACCATTCAAACATCTTTTTAAAATCTTTTAACAAACTCCACACAGCTCAGTAAAGACTGTGAAATGTTGACTTTATTTGATAATTTCAATAAAAACTAACGTTCATATTTCTCTTTTTGATTATAATACTGATGAACGTTCAAAACAAAGCACTTTGGCAAGTTACCACATACGTTTTAAAATGCTTAATAAGCACCGTAACTTTCATGATATAATTTCTCGGTCATAATTGGTTGTTTCCGTGAACGGCCGACTGTTGTGTCACGGCAAATGCTGCGGCCGCTGGGCATTGTGGGGCAGCATTTTCTCCTCTCCTTTCGGTTAGGGAGGTCCAGTGGTTCCTAAGCTAAAGGAGGTTATAAAGGAAGTTTGAAACCTCCTTTTCTATCATCTAGACTAGAGAATTCGAACGGCTCTTATCATGGCTGCCACTGAGGGACTTCCGGGTCATTTCACTCCGTTAGGAAGGTTCCTAAGAAAAACGGACTATTCGACCGCAACCCTGGTACAATCTTTTCAAGAACATTATATCTACACCAGAAGAAAGGCAGACAAGTAAGTCACAGTGAGAGTGCCACATAGCTTACGTAGCCGTCGCAAAATTAAACATTTCACAGTCACCCTTTAATATCATTCTGTTTAGAGCAAAACTTGGCAATACGTGGGATGTATTACACAACAGGGACTCAATACATGCTTTTTGCATGTAGAAAGACTTGCTTCTGGCTAATGTCTCTCATTGTGTGTGTTTGTGGCTTGGACTGTGACACTTATGTGAGTGGGTCTGGTCGCCTGGGTTTTTAAACCATTACAAATGCAGCTGCAGGGAAAAGACATGGAGCACTTTTTCTAATAATGAACTTTTCAGTGGCAGGATGTGCTCTGAATGCGGCTGGTGGGAGGATGCATTCTTCTGCATAATGCTCTGAGTGGGAGCTGAGAGCCCTCTACACTCAAAAGAGGAAAAAACAGCAGGTGAAAGGATTGCACACAATGCATTGCTAAAATCAAGATTGAAAATAAAATATTACTCAAATGTTTTCAGATTTGGCAGGATTATCTTTTAAAGAAACAATTCATACCGACACATGAACTTCTTCGATTAAAGCGACACGTACAGTACATTCCAGATTTGTCTAGCTTGTCTCTCGTCACATATTCTCTCCTGTCCCCTATAGAAGCAGTCCATTTTTATAACTGTTATGTCATGAAACACCATTTTTTTTTACATACTTGACAGATGATTCATTCTTGGTTTGCTGTTGCAGTCAAGATGCTGGGAGATGTTAGCTTACTACTTGTTTTGACATGTTGGGAAGGTTTTTTCTCCCTATGCAGTTGTCTCTAAATAATACAACCAATCATAATTTGTAAGGAAACAAATCAAAACTCGTTATACAGTTGATGTTGCTCAACCTCACAGTGACATGCATGAACAGCTTGGATTTGTATCCGAAAATGCAACTTGACATGACCAGTCACCAAAGCACAAAGAGACCATCACTTAAATCCTTGACAGTCTTAGTGGCAAGATCTCAAACTGCTGTCAAAACCGTAAGGATTTACTTAAATAAAACAATAGATGAAAATGTTTGCCTGGAATGCACTTCAAAACTCTGAACTCACACATGCTGGCAGTACGAGTTGTTGTCTATCAAGACTCTGCACACGTTCAAACACACCCATAGTGATCCACAAAGACAGAGAAATAGTTTTGACAGTTTGTGTGAACGTTTTGTTAACATCCCTTTAAATTCCAACTGGTGGGGCATTGGCATGATCTCTTGCTTTGTGGTGGTGCCTTTTTTGAGAGAAGTGTGTCTAAGCCCAAAGGAACAACATTAGCAGGAGATTCCCAGGGTTAGGGACCCATTGAGCGAGTTGAGCGAGTTGAGTGGCAGGGCGGGCGGGGATACAGATCTGTTTGGAGAAGCTGGTGCCAGCCGGAGTCTGGCAGGAAAACTACGGCTCTACTTCTAAAACCACTTGACAAACCAGCATATCCATCCTTATGGTCTCACATGCACAACGATACGAAGTTTAACAACTGATGATATACTTATTTCATAACATTTTACGTCACGACCTCCATGTTAAACATGTCCTGGAAAAAGCTGCTGTTTTGTAGGATAAATATTCGGGCTGCTCCATCTTAGACAATCATTTTGGTCTCCGTCCTTATTATCAATCTGGATGACTCATTTTGAATACACTTATGAGCTCATCCTTGGTAAACCCAAGATTAAGAATGGTGCTTTAACAGTATTCTTTGTGGAGTTACTTTAGTTTAATCAACTAATCGCTTAATCCTAATAAATAATCATATGACTGTTAGTCACTTAGAATTCCTTTAGTCAAGGAGAGCTCTAGTTTAAATAACCAGATACATTTTCAAATTATTAAATCTGCTCATCCAATACTATTTAGCTTTTACCTAAATGTTGATAAATATGTATCTGACATCAGATACATTTAGGAATATATTTTTGAAAATGTGGCAACGCTTATTTATGACAACATTTTTGATCTGAATACTAAAGGTCATAAGAAAAACTCTAGATGTTAAATTAAGATTATTAGTATGATATTAATATAATCATATAGCAGAAGGTTTTCGACTTGAGAATGCTAGAATTGGATGTGATTCACTGGATAGAAGTATCACTTTGTTGGAGCTTCTGGAACCAACAAACCTAGCAATAACAGATGTGGACAAAACACAATATAGTTCAGTAAGTAAGAATGAGATTATTTTGTTATTTAAGTACATTTAAAAGTTCAGATTTGTTGTTTTCATTCACACATTTTTTTTATCCCCAGAGGAACCACCCGGCTGTGTGACACACACACACACACACACACACACACACACACACACACACACACACACACACACACACACACACACACACACACACACACACACACACACACACACACACACACACACACACACACACACACACACACACACACACTACACACACACACACACACACACACACACACCACACACACACACACACCACACACACACACACACACACACACACACAACACAAACACACACACACACCACACACACACACACACACACACACACGTCCTGTTTTGACGCTGTTCCTGGATGGAAAACACTGAAGTAGTCTAAACGAAGCAGGCATGTTTTTTTTTCTTTCTTTGAGAGGGACGGAAAAATCAGCTGATGAACAAAGAGCTTAAGAATCTGTGTCCCTTGTTTACACCAACGCACGCACGCATGAAATAAGGCTCAAATATGGATTAGCAGACGCCTCTGAAGAAAAATAAATATGAAAAAGAAAAACTGGCTGATAGGAGATGTAAAGTGGGACAGATTGTACGGAAAGTTGATTTGTACCCAATTTCAAAAAACGTCTTACCCTTTTAATTAATATGAAGGGATCTGAGTGTCTCTTCCACACACATCCTTCCAGCGTGCACAATGATAAAGGTATGAGCTGTGTTTACCAAGGATAACCTGACATGTAGGACAAATGATTCAGCTTTTAGAGAAGGTTATGTGGATCACATAAGAGTGTTTGTCAGTTCTGGGATCAGCAGATTGTTTATTTACTCCAGACTCCTGTCTAACGAAGAGACACTTTTGAATCAAAGGGTGGGAACAAGACTTTTTCTAACAAGAGGGCACATTTCTGCCAAATCTTCAATTATTAATCTGATAAGATGTATCTAAAATATAGTAATTGTTGTATTATATTGCAACAGTGACTTCACGGCCTCTTCATGGAACACTATCTTGCAGCACTGGCTTTAGGTGTCAGGAAAAAGGAGTATTATCAGTGGTTGACTTTGTACAATGGAAACACGGATTCAAGTCAGTTACATTTATTGTCAAACATTTGGTAAATTTGGCCTGGTGCGGAAGCTAAAGCATTATACTATATAGACTAGTAATGTGGACATAAAAAAAAGAAACCTCCCGCTTTTGTATTGGAAGACAACATGATCATTTGCATTCCTATTCTTAGCCAAGTTTTGATTTTACAATCAACCATTATTGAAACACATTTTAAATGTTTTGGGTTGCATAACAATCCTCTAAAAAAAAGTCCTGGGCTGACAATGATAACACAAATCATTAAAAAGGCCACTAATTGTCTCTGTTTTGCTAGTAGACGGGAAATGTGAGATTGGTAACACTGCTGAGGTTCTTGTGAAGAAGTCTGTATGGGAGATATCTGATGTTCTTTCTCACTTAAAAACTGTGAGAGAGAAAAAACTGTGAATATGCAAGTGAGGCGCATGAAAACTAAAATCCATCTGGGGACAAGAGTGAGTGTGATTGGAGCGAGGGCTTTTAACTCATTAGAGATACGATTAAAATAATATTGCTAATGTGGCTTTTCTCTGCCATCCCATGCATATGTACAACAATACAAAATACACTTTGCTAAACAGATTTGTGATCCTTCTTAATTTTTTTAAGCCACAAATGGACAAGGTCAAAGATACACTGAAAGATGAAGGGATGAAATATCAGCCCAAAGAAAAAGAAAGCATGAATAACCAAAAGTAATTTTATGGTCGGTGCTTTGAAACATTTCATTCCGTAATGACAATGCATGGAGGCTTGATATGCAGTTGAAGTTAACAGCCAAATGTTGGACTCATGACACAATTATATATTTAGTTGAGACCTAAGACCATACTATGTCTACAGTCATGTAGGACATGTTTATATCCCAAAGCATGTGACACTAATATCTGATGTGTTGTGCCACACTGCTCACCTGTAGACGGGCTGCATCTCTCTGGTGATGCCTATCACCGCTCCTGGAGGAAACCGGTCAAATTCTTTAAAAAGGTCCCTGATGTTGGTCCTGTATTTCAGATCCAGGTCAAGCTGCACTATGCGCGTCAGACCTGGAAAAAAAGCACATTATTTCCCATTAATAGGGCCGCATCAAACTTAAAAAAGAAACCTGTGTAAACTGCTAAATAACGGTTGCCATTTTAACAAAGAACAAGAGTCTGTCCGGTTAGAATAATTGAATTATGAATAAAAACATGTTTTAACTAGTTTATTTCATGACAAAAAAAGAGTTGTCCATTATAAAAACAATCACACTAAATCTACTTCCGAGTAAACTGTCTAACAATGCACATAGTTTGAATTTTTCCAATCACTTCCAAAAATCCTTCTATTCATTCACATTTCGAGAAAATAGGAGAGGACTACTCTTGACAAGCCATTAAATGGTTTCTCTGAGATTGTGTTTTTGACCACCAGGGGTGATTTTTTTATTCAATTTTACCATTGACCTAGAAAAGAAAATTGCAAATGAATTGTGTGGAGAAATCTGGGAATAGATTTCTTTAAAGGAGTGGACGTTTGGCAGTTGTGAGCGTACATACAGTCAATTATTAACACAGCTGTTTGTGGATAAAATGGTAACGGCAGTATCCAGGATGTGCAGGCCCTCATCTGTCCATTGTTTCAGCTTCCTATGTTTTGCTGGTAACCATGGGGATGAAATGATGGGAAAACACTCAGGAATGGTGTCAGGGGCACAACATGATCATTGAACAGATGAAAACACTTGTCAGCTCAGGACGAACTGTCAAAGAAGACTGTTTCTATTGAGAGCAGTAAACATTTATTGGCAGAAGGTCATTTTGACAAAGACTGCGGAATTGGCACAATTGTGAAAAGGCAGGAGTACTTCAAAAATAATAAGCTGCATGGGCCTCCTGCATTATGGGCCTTCAGAGCTCAATTCAACAGTTTTTCAGTTCTTTAAAGCCATGCTGGGATCTGGCAGCCAACAAATGTGCAATTTGTAGGATATTATAATTCCAATAGCACAAAAGTGTATTATATTTCGAAGGGAAAATGTGTTGCATCATCCATCCAGTATATGAACAACATATTTATTAAAAGAAAAGGAGGCTACACTGAACAGAAAAAAAGACAACTAATTACCTATTGGTTTAGTTTATATGTAACAAGGCAGAGCAGATTGAATATCTTCTTCATGGCAGCATGGGTCCCAATGTCCCATCTGTCCCACTGTTTATTTCAATGTTGCTTAGGAGTAGTTTGGAAAAAACCAAGCAGTTTCTATATTTGTACGTTTCCTGCTAAAAAAAATGTTTTACCCTGAGTTGTAAGACTTTGCATCAAGTCAATAATGTCAATGTCAATAATGCATCAAGTCATCATGTTTCAAAATCTATTTTGATGTTGTCACTGTTATTGTGAAAGTTGCATATATATAATTTAATAACGATTTTAGTGAAAGAACTCTTGAATCATTCTAATTTATCACCGTAGGCTTATTATATTACGGGGAAAATAGACAGGGATCCAATGCAGGACTGTACTCGAGGTCAAACAGTACGAACACCCTATTTTTGGAATTGAAAAGAAATCACAACCTTGGCCTGAACAAAGCCGACTGAAAAGCTAAACATTTCATCTGTGTTATATTTGTTACTAATGGAAGATTTAAGCTGTACTACAAGTTTGTGCTGCAGAGACATTTGAGAGGCAGTTTCTGTTGAGACTAGTGATGGAAAAAGGAGACTCAGCAATGCGGAGGCGACCTGTTTTCTATGCTCTCCAAACAAGGAAGCTGCCATCACAATGCCTCCATGTACTGTGGCAACAGAGAGGGGCTCGGGCGGGTAATCCAAGAGTTGTCCTCGCTGTTTGTTGGTACTAGCCGAGTTTAACTAGTGGAGAATAACAGGAAGAGGGCCTGAAGTTGGTACAACACTGTGATGTGGAGAGTTTGATGTCAGATCAATGACTCAAAACAAAGTCCTTTGAAGGTGAAAGTATGGCAGTGTTTGATCCTGGCATGTGATTTCAATAAACAGATGATTTTAATAGATTACAAGACTAGTGCCACTTGCTGCACTTTCTCACATCAGAAATGTAGTGTTTATTTTACTACTCCTCTGTTATAAATTGTCTGCTTTCATAGTTTGCAGATATCAGACTTTGATACAGCAACTGATGTCTAAACTATCAAAAAGGAGACACGTTTTTATCAAACTTGCTTGTTTTAGGCAAACAATACTACCTGTTGATTTTGCTTTTAGTTCTGTCATTTGCAGGGATACTCCTAGTCACAAAAATAAAATGTTAAAAAACAATATATGTCATTTACAAAAAAAAATTATGATTAACTTTAGGGGAAATAAATCTGGAAAAGCGAACTGTGCGAGACAGATTCTGCAGTAGCTGTCATTTAGTGTAGTTTCATTATTTATTGCAAACTGGGTATGAGCCTGAGGCAACGAGAGAGAGAGAGGGAGAGAGACGTCTTATTTTTCTGACACTTGCATCTCTTTTTGTTCCTAAATATCCTCTCAGCAAGGATTACAGGAGAAGAAGAAACACGTTTTTGGGGTGAAATGGAAATTACCTACACAGACAAAACTCTTTCAGTAGTGCTGTCTGTCCCTGTGGACTGCTACACAGCTGTTCTGTAGTCTATTACTGTCCTACAGTTTAAAATGTTACTGCCGAGTTCACCAGAGATGTACATCAACCTCAACGTAACCAGTGTGCACAACATTAGTTACATACTTTTTTTTAGAGTCTGACTAATTAGAGAGATGGATATATACAGTAATGGCAGTTTTGGCATTTTCTTACCAAATAAAAATGCCAAGGAGCTAAATGTTTTAACTGACTTTCACCTGGTTTACTCAAGCAGCATTAAGAAGTTACTTATTATTCCTGACTTCAGTTAAATTACATGTTAGGATGAAAAACGTAGATTTACTAAATGGATAAGTACACATAAAGGGAGTTAAAATAAATCTTGACCAGGTGCATGTATGGGTGTTGTACACTTATTGCAGGAGTAACGTTGTTAAGTGGCTGAAGAGCTCGTCTAGGGCTCAGGTCAGATCAGACTAAACCTAAACTCAGACATAGCAACACAACAACAGAGACACTGTTATCTAAAATCACATTTCTTTCAGGAAGAAAGTGGGTCAACCTGATTAAGCACTAATATGTGTCTTGATGTGAGTACTTATGGCCTTCTCATATAGTTCATTGTTTATTTTTTCACCCACCGTCATTGGAAAACACCCTTTATCAGAGAAAGGGAATCACCTGATATACATTTTCACCCTCCCTATGTCCCCATATATGAAATGCTGATGCCTTTCCTGCTGCGGGAATGAACTGTCTAGCCTTGTGTGCAGTAAACTGGGACGTCTAGTCACAGGCCTCTAGGGAAAACATAAACACAAATATGACCATGTGTTTATCATCAGATAAAAATCTAAAGTTACAATGTTGTATCTTTAAATATTGATAGTTGATAATTATATTATTATTAGGGCTGTCAGTCGATTAAAATATTTAATCGCGATTAATCGCATGATTGTCCATAGTTAATCGCGATTAATCGCAAATTAATCGCACATTTTTTATCTGTTCTAAATGTACCTTAGAGGGATATTTTTCAAGTTTGTAATACTCTTATCAACATATGAGTGGACAAATATGCTTGATATGTTTGTTTATTATCATTTGAACAATGACAAATATTCTCATGAATATTAAACACAACAACCTGGAACCTCTCTCATACAATAATACTGTGTGTGTGTGTGTGTGTGTGTGTGTGTGTGTGTGTGTGTGTGTGTGTGTGTGTGTGTGTGTGTGTGTGTGTGTGTGTGTGTGTGTGTGTGTCGTTGGAGCTATGTGCCGCTCAAGGCATATATGCTCGAACGTGTGCTGCCTGGACGCTGCAATCATGTAGCGCGTACTGAGTGTGCTGACTTTTCGTACAATGTCCCACTGTCTGGCTACCTGCATAAAGTCAAGTGCTCGGCGCAGTTGTCGGCGAAATGTCATTGAAACAGCTCCTTATAGCCGTTAGCGCAGCTAGCTAGCACCAGATGCTAACAACAACAACACGTAAGGTGTGCCTCGCTCGCGCGAGTCGCGCCACACATACACACTCCCTCCCGGTCCTCCCGATGGCCAGTCCGGGCCTGCCGGTGAGCGTGGAAGTGTGGTCTGCCACAAGCGGGCGGCAGGAGCGGGGCTGTCAGCATCAGCTTGTAGATGGTATTTTAAACTCGATGCGCTCTGAAACTACGGGGCGGCGAGGACAAAAAATACACATGCGTTAATCGCGTTAAAATAATTAGTGGCGTTAATCTTTTTTTGCGTTAACGCGTTATTAACGCGTTAACTTGACAGCCCTAATTATTATTTTTCTAAACTAGAAGAAGACAACACAACAGTAACATGCAGTGAATCTCCAATAGTGAGAGGAAGTCAGGTAATGTAAACTAACTCCAGCACTACTCAGAATTCTAATTTTAGAACTTTTGTTTACTATAAAGCATTGTTAGAGTGTGAAAAAGACAGTACATCATGTTTTTATAACTAATAAAAGTTATTAAAAGCTTTTCACAGTATCACAAAACGTTTTTAGTTCTTCATCTTGGAATTTCTTGGAAGTCACAACATAAATAAATAAATAATAATTTTCTTTCATCCATTTGCTGTGTGTAGGCCTGTGGGAAAACCAATAGTTTAGCTACTGTCTCGCTTCCAGGTAACATCATTCTCACTTTAGCAAAGCAATTCACACATCATCCTGTCGGAGGTGGAAAATAGAGGCCAAGGTTGTAGGAGAGACTCAAGTCCCAGCATGTTAAGACCTCTAGAGGGGAAACAAAACAAGGAACACCTCTCCATCAACAAAAACTGTTTCTTAGAAACCTCATCGTTTCCATTGTGCAATATTTCTCATCCTCCAAGGACTGGTGGTGCGAAAATAGAGAATTAGAGTCCATTTGTCTACTGACTGCTTTTAACACTGTTAATTCTATACAGTATATCAAACATATGAATGTCTTCTCTTTGCAAATAACATTTTATTTATAATTGAAAGCTGTTTTGCTAAATCTATTTAGCTTCATCGATTAAAGAAATGTTGAATACACAGACTCAAGGCTGCTTAGCTTACACCGAACCAAAAGTGCTTCACATTATCTCTGCTTTATCTTTTCTTTTGACATCATAATTAAACTTGCTGGAATATCCCACTTCTCAAGTTAAAGGATGTTAAATCCAGCCCTCCTACTTTTAGCTGCTATATATTTACTTATTGATAACACGCTTGTTTTTTCACCCTGTATTTAATCATAACTGATGTTCTGCGTCTGCTGCGTAGCTCCCTGGATGAGTTTCAGGAAACTAGTACCCACACACTCTCTGTTAAGACAACCACATTATGCCCTTTAGAGATAAAAGGATTCTTTAAATAGAAATGTATGACCACTTGGGCACAGAGCAGATGGGTGGCACATGGTTGATCGATAATCATTTTAAAAACCCAACGTGAGACACTTTTACAGCCGCAGACACCCCCCTCTCATGTGTCTAACCCTTTTATGTTGCAGACATGCTTGCCACCGTGTTTATCGCTGTGGTGTTCAGACTGACAAGAATTCTCTTGACTACAAACAGTAGGACCAAGGGTAATGTTTCAAATATGGTATTCTCCAGTAGTGAGGTTTAGTTAAATGTTTCACCTAAAAAGTCCCTTTCCTTTGTAGTTTGCCTATTTGTTTGGGTTTATAATAACATACGTTCCTTGTAATTTAAATATCTTTATTGGTCTAATTCCTTCTGGTTTGATGTTGCTTCCCCTTTCTGGGTACAAACAGAGAACATCAGACACACAGCTTCAGCTCAGACCAAGTACTGCTCGGGTAGGGTAGGGGGGGGGGGGGGGGGATGTTTATCACATGATGCCACACTGGCAATATGTTTTAAATTCAGTCAAAACAACTCTGGGCTTCACCACAAATTACTTTTCAGAGTTGACAGCGGAGTGAAAGCCACAAAGTAAAACATTTTTCCTCCAAGGATAATCTTTTATTTATCAACCTGTTTTGCCTTAAGGCTCTTCTGCTCCTTAAGTAATATCCTGCTTTCCTGAGAAATATAAACAGCACTTTTGAAGTGCTTAAAAAAAACCTTGGAGAAAACCTGAAATTAACCACAGGGGAAGTCAAGCCTTCAAATATGGACAGGCAGCATCTTTCTCTGCGGAAAGCTAATAAATAAATAAATTCAGCTTCCAGCTCGTGCTGTTGATTCTGATATCCAGTACTGTCATGTTTATGAGAATACTTTATTCATGTAACTGCTGGAAAAACTCTTCACTTCAGACTAAAACAATGACAATAATAAACCCTGTTCATGATAGGACCCTACTATCTTTTCATTATTAATGCCGACATAACACATTTAAGTCAACCCTAAAGAAGCAAAATGTGATGATTCATTGTCAGCAACAGAATTGAAGGAATTGTATTTTGAATATGAATGCTATGGAGGGGTTTTAATGCGGCAAAGTAGGATATATGTGCATATGAGGTGTGCCTTCTAAGCTCTGAATAAAGCATCATGGGTCTGCGTGTCGATGTGCATATTGTTGTGGATTGTGATACCTTGATATTTGCATTGTTCTTATTAATTTCTTTGCTTCCAACATGTTGTATTTTGGACAGGGATTTATACCATCAATGTTAAAATAGGTTTAAAATATAGAGTGTTCCCTCAGTGTAGTCTGAGATCACTTTAAAAACCTGAAATAGGACGGTGCCCTTTTATTGCAGATAGATACTTCAAGGTTCATTGGTGACTATTGATTTAAAGCCTGGTGGTTTGGTTCACTTTTGGTGATGCCCCATGCTGCACATCCACTGAAGAGAGGCCCAACAGAGGGGGCCGCTGCCATCAGTCAGCACCAACACAGGGGGCACTAATGTGGGCAGAAGCAACAGGACACATCCCCCCCCCCCCACACTTTAAAGGGCCTCTGCAGCACGTTACATATCTGTCAGATACCCAACCCTACGCAGTTTAGAGAAGTCATCACCAGAGTGAATTTAAAATATGGACTGCCAGATTAAAAAACATAATACTAATTTTAAAGCTTTATATACTATCAAACAATATTTGTGTAAAATTGAATTTTTTTTTAATTATTGTGTATGTTATACAATTTCCTATCCACATTGTGACTTTTTTTACTTAAATGGGCGCAGTTCTTGATCCAAATGTGAAGGACAACACATTTTGAAAACCATTACAAGCTGCTTAAATTACAGGATTTTTAATACATGGAAATTCTAACCATCATTCATCATTAGGTGTGTTTACAATAGTTATGTCTGTAGATATATTTTAATTATGACGTTGAAAAACATCCAAAATGCTTTACATGAACTTGACTTCTTTGTGACAGTTAGACGTGTCTCTAGTAAAATATCCTAAGGACAGATATTTTCAAACATGCAAATAAAACTAAAACTACACTACACTTAAATACTTAAAGATCTATACATCTGATGGTCCTTTAACTGAAAAATAAATGTGCCAAAAGTAGCTTTTCCTTACTTTCAGGCATGATTTGATGCATGGCAACAGACAGGAAGAAAATGGCGTCGCTGTAGTAAGCCCCAGAGCCGGCGCTGAAGTACTTCTGCATGGCCTCTACGATGGGGAACAGCTTGTGTGTGAGATCAACCACGTCATGGAACAACACCTGCAGGCACAGAGGAGGCACGTTAGTACAACAAAGAGTCACATATATGGAAAGATTAAAGATATTTATAAATCATTGGTACATATTACCATAAACTAACATATTCTGAAAGCTGTAAATGTGCAGGTTCGGATATACCCTAATTGTGGGAGTCAATGGGAATATTATTTTAGATGTAATATCTGACTGACAATCAGAAAAAAAACATTTATTTATGCCTTTACCATTGAAAATCAGAACACGCACATAAAACAAAGAGGCGCTGTCCAGTGACTTTCAACTAGTAAAAAAGAAAAGAAAATTATGTTACACAATAACCTTTTGATTCTAAAAGTTGTGTTTGTTTACACATGATGCATCGTATAAGATAGTAACACACACTGCCTCTCGCTTCTCCTCCAATAGGCTTCAAATCACACAACACGTCAGTCTCTGTTCTGATCGTGTACAGTTCATATACAGTAGATTACTGAAAGAGGATTAAAAAATAAATACAGTAAGCACTGATTATTGTTAAAGCTTTTCAGCAGAAGGAAAAATATGTGTCGGTTTGGGACAACAGTATTTCCTGAGGAGATTCAGGCCTTTTTGGTTAAGCTTGACATTAGTTCCTGTTTATGTTAAAGGTTCACATAAGACCGGGACAATATGGCTGTCGTATTATAAATCAGGCCTGTGTGCCTCAATGGGAAAACATGATAATAAACCCTGGCAGCTTAAGGCAAACCCTCTGTGAAAGCTCAGAGCTGTGTGGGACTGCTTTCGGCACAGTCTTGATAAATATTCACTGGGACTGCAACAGAACCATTTTGATTTGCGCATTTATTAGATTTTCATAACTCAATCAAGGCTCATTAAAAGTCTTCCCCTATTCCAAAAAATAAAGTACAATATTACTTCTCAAAGCCACAAACTCACTGTTCAATCACAACCTGTTAAAGAGACGAACTAGACTAGAGGAAGGAGAAACTGGGGGAATATTGTGCACAACTGTGTTTCGTGCTGCACTGAATATAGCCTTGGTCAAAGAGGATTAACAATAACTATGGTATGAGACAGGAAAGGAAAGAAAAGACTACCCAAATTCCACCTGTGTATTTTTGGAAGATCTTGAATATTTAATAGACTAAATTAGTATGGCTTTCCATTAACAATTCATGGAGAGAACACAGCTAACCCATGTTTACTATTTTCTCCAAATGGCCACAATAAATAATACAAAACGTTCTTTAAAAATAGCATTACAATTTTAGCAACTGAACCATTTTTGCTCAACACATTACGCTATGTTCATTCAAAACACTATTGTTGTTTGTCTTTTGAAGTTATTAATTTCACAGCGTCTTATCAGTTTAATTGACGCTAACCTTTGCCGTCTGACAGCCTTCACAATGGGAAAAGAAGACGTTATCTATGCTGTCATCAAAGCCACCAGACTCCATTGACAAAAACTGTATTTTCTGCAGAACCCTCTTCATTGGTTAGTTAGTTTCTTCTATGACTGGTATAAATGAACTAACCCCTTGATTCTCTGTGTTTTACAAATGTACTGTTTTAGTTTGTAGTGGATCCTGCCATAATATGTCCACTACTACCTAAAGTCATCCAGCAGGATATAAAACGTAGAATACCACAGCACTGTGATCATCCGTGCTAATTACTGAACAGGATGATCCACACTGCTCCAATATGTTGTTTGAACGATGGTCAGCAGTAATGAGAACAGCCTCTGGGCAGTGTGACTCTACAGGCTGTTGGTTGCGAATGTCAAGTGGGTCACTGAATTTACCACTGATGAACTCAAGAGATAGAGGCTAAAATGATTGCATAACAGTTGTCTTATCTTCCTGCTCCTATAGATAAAGAATTTAAAAGGAATGCGTCTCGGGATGAGCAGACAAGGAAGTCGACGTGCTCATACACTGCCTCCATCGGGGCCCCGGGAGACCCCGAGCCATCTGTAACTTTGGCAGGATTTAAGTGGCTGTACGTGTGTCAGAACATCATTTCATTATTCATTATCTCCAACCATGTTTAAAAGCACTGGTCTGGAATGATACCATTACAATGATAAAACCACTGTGAGTACAGCCAGCTTGTAAATGTTATGTAACTTTGATTTACAAAAGCAAAAGAGTGTGTAAGAGAGAGATAGAAAAAAAGTTGTTCCTTTTGGCCACTCTGTACTAGACAGAGCTTACTCATACATCAGTATGTTATTTTTGGCGATTTTTGGCATATCATAGATATATTGGCAGCACCGCAAATGTCATCTGATAAGTAAAATATGCTTAAGTGCATACAGCTAAATTCCTACCCACTTACTGTACACAAATGCACTTCGAATACACAACAAACAGCGCTATCTATCTGAGAAACACTATTATTAATGTTGATGGTGTACATACATAATGTGGGATTGCTATAGCTGATTTCATGAGCTGTTTGGGACTTGTACATTATGAAATACCCCCAACCCCTACGTACTTATTGGCTACTGAAGAAGATTTTGTGTGTACTTTGACAGGTGTTTATATCTCTGTGTCTCTGACTGTGGACAGATTTTTTGACCACCATAGCATCCCATCCATGTTCTGTATTTTGACTAACTTTAATAGTTATACACAGAGCCTTTATAATTATTGGCTGAGTTATACTTGAAAGAAGTGTTTTGGTTGATAATCTCTGCACGCTAGTATCGTGTATTTTTTAAGAAATAGCTCTTGTCTTACACAGCAGATCAATGTTTTCTGTATTTGACTCAACACACAGTTGTTCTCCTACAAGACTTTTAGCTTGGTCTAAGTACAGAGAGTTAAATGAGCAGCAAGCCATCTGACCCACAGGCTCCAAACTGCCAAGGTGCAAAGCTGAGTAAACCTCGGCCCAACCAGAGCAGGCATGGGATCAGCCTGAGACAATACAAAGCTGAAACAACAGCAGATGTTGTCGATGATGAGACATTCCTAAGAGGAAAGGTCTGGCAGGTGAGGAGGATCAGAGACAGTAAATTGTAAACAGGTTTTAAGATCTTGTGCTCTGAGAGGAATACAAAAGAGGATGAACTAGGCAGGACATTGCATGCAACACAAAGGGAACATAATCCTCTGTTTTGGCTGAGAGAACACAGTAGGGGAGGGGATGCCTCCACCAGTAAGGAATGAGTTTTGCAGGCCAACACTGCCCCCATGTGTTTCAACTTTAAACAGCACCTACAGCATATGTGTTTGTCTTTGAGCATGATTTATTCCTGTTAAAAATATGTTGGTTAAGTTAACATAATGATACTCTTTTGCATCCGTAAGAAACCCTACTGCGGGTTCATCAGAGCTGTGTAGTTTAAATACAATATATGTTTCTCTGCCACTGTATCATACCAGAGATTTGAATAGCAATACTCACTTCATTTTATTTTCCCCCAGTAAATGAACTAAGTAGTTATTTGAAACAAGAACCCTTAAAAAGGGCACCAAAACCTCTTATATTGAAAGCAATAGATAACAGATTCCTAGTATGGTTTAACTTTTTTAGAATGCTTACCTCATACTTAAACGTTGCATCAAGGAGAAATTCCTGCAGCATCTTCTCTCCCAGTTCTTTGCTGGCTGGATCGCTCACAAAATGAAGGACCAACACCTCTCCTTCCATGAACTCTCCGTGCTTCACCATAGACAACATTGCCACTCTGAACTTGTCCTGCAGACTCCGACTTTTGTCCACCTTGGTGAACATCATGAGTGCGTGGTAGTGTTGGTCACCAGAGCCACCAATCTCTCCCTTCCCGGGCCTAAATTCTTCGCTCACTCCTCCCACATCTTGCTGTTCCTCTCCCTGCTCCTCAGATACATCTTTGGGTGAGAGCCTGGTGTCCACAGTTAAATCTGCATCGTTTCTGTTGGTGTTGTGTGTGGACTGGGTCTGCTTGATCCTCTTTGTGGTGCTGGAGAAGTTCTGCCTCTCTGAGCCGAAGTAGTAAAAAGCTGCAACAGCAAGCGCAGCAGCGAGCAGAAGCACAAACTGATAGGACCGGAAAGTACTGATCCTACCCATGATTCTGACCACCAGTCTGAGGAAGCCCATATCTCCCTGTTGGTGTCATAAGAGTGGGGGTGTGCAAGGCATTACAGTCACCAGGTTATGTTCCTCCATGTTGTAGTTATTTATGGTAAATTACCCACATCTTCCTGTAAGAAAAAAAACAATACTTCAGTCTTGAAATACAGAGATGGAACTGCTTGCAATACACAGTATATAGGTCTACATTTTGTGCACTCATTTGTGCATTATGTTACCTTTACCTTTAGTGAAAAACCACAGTAAAATATGACAGGTACTTTAAGTCTTCTAGTTTGTTAGAATAACATCTTCCAATACTCAAAGCCCGTATACCTTTTAATCGTTTTCTTGCATTGGAATACATGGGTTCCATAATATTCATAGTGTTTGTGAATAAACAGTCTATGGGCAAAATATACTAGTTTCCAAGATCGTAGGTTTAACAACCATTCCTCGCCAATGTTGCATTGTGCAAACTTAAGCTCTAAACCTCTTAATCTCATTAGTTAACATGCACACACAATACTATTTGGTTTAACAGATGGGGAAGAAGAACTGCATGTACTTGCCTGTCGTTGATCTCTGTAGTTTCATTTTGCCATCTTGTTCGCCCCGTGTCTCTAGAGCCTCACGTTTCTGAAGTAATGCTGCATTGGCTAACTTAACATTGACAATAATGACACGGTTAAAGTCCACGAAATACCCAAAAAACTAAATCCCTGCAGTAAGACACCCTGCGGCAAACTGTTGACATGCCAGCTGCTTTACGAAGATGCTATGTTAGCAGACGTCGACTTTGCGCCTCTATGTTGGTCGTTGAGTCCGACGCTGTTTGCTTAACCCGAGCATAAAGCAAAGCTGTTTGGTTGTTTAAAATTCAAATGCACCCTTGCATACATGCGTCATTCTTTCGGTATTACGGTGTTTGCAGGGCTTGGTGATTTCGAGAGGAAAAATGGCAAAACGACTAGTTGGAGAAATCTCTAGCTAACAACCTAGCAACAACATACTGTCTGTGACGCAATTTAGCCACACCCACTTTGGGTTCAGCCGTATACCGAGCCATGCTGCCTCTAAGGACTGCTGGAAAAGTGCAACTTTTAACATAAACTTTAACATAAACGACTCAGCAATCGTTGTAGAAGAATTGCCCGTTATACATGTATTTATTACATATGAATACATTTATTTTTTGAATAATTCATTCACGATTCGATTCAGTATTTTTTATTAACAAAATACATATTCTAAGAACAAAATATAACATGAAAAACGTTTTCTTAATATAAAACAACAAATACCTAATAATATATTTAGTAAGAATATATGGTAATGTGACGTGTTCGATTCCCCCCCACAATAATTAACCAAAAAACAATACAGTCATATTTATTTGCACCATTTTACTGGGTGAACATTTATAAATACCAGTTTAGAAACTGCACCTTAACGCGGCACCAGTGCCTCACGACATTTTCGGCAGCGCTATTGTTGCTCTGTGCTCGCGGCTGTCGTAGACATTAGCCCGCAGCAAACAATAACCAGCTTCTGTTTACAGGGAAAATGCCAGGTCTTGTAATCGCCTGACGCCCTTTTCCTCGTAAACACAACATAGCTCGTCTCTTTTTTGTTTTAAATTCAGGCACGTTGCTGGCGCAGAGCTAGCTAGTTCGATTAGCACTCATTGCAAAAATGAATTCTAACACGCACGTCATTCAGGTGACTAATGTTTCCCCGAGCACAACGTCCGAGCAAATGCGGACTCTGTTCGGATTCCTCGGAAACATAGAGGAGCTCAAACTGTTTCCACCTGAGTGAGTATTGTAAAATATAAATAAGTAAAACGCTATTTTGCCGAGCTAAAGTTGTTAAGGGCTGGGCCTCTCATTAGGCCTGCAGAGCCGAGTAGGCCTCATGCTAATGCTAACGTTTCCCCGCGCCTTTAGTGGAAGCTTCAGCAACCATGAGGGACTAATACTGATAATTTATCCTGTTGTGTTTGTTAGAGAGATTTAGGACAGAATGAAATGTCCCGTCTTAAACAGACTTAGTGGTGTGATAGCTCCCAGTCGTACATGAGAATTAAACCAGTTGTGTTTGCTTCATTAACTTAGCCACCAATCTGAAAGTAGGTTTACAAAATGGTAAATAGAAGTTTCCATACCAAGTGTTTGTTTAATCTAAAACACAAAGATATTAAATTGACAATTAACATATTTGAGTTATTTATGATAGCGTTAGCATGGCATTTTTGTTTGATAAATGACCCCTACATTTGTATTGATTATAGTTGGTGCGATTGGTTCGTTTTTTCAGCCCTGCACAAAGCCTTTCTCTGCTTAACAAAACTGTAAATGGGATATTTTTCAATGTCTTCTTGCTATGACTTTCTCTTTGTGATTTGTATATACTAAAAACTTAATTGAGTAATTATCAGATGAATCAATGAGGACCATGACTTTCGTCTCTAGATTCAAGAAGTCACAGCTGCAGTATTTCCTTAAGTAGTAAATCCTGATTTATACAAAGTGGAAAACCAGACTAATTCAATGCCAGTCACTTCCTGTGCCCAATTTCTAAGGTCCCTGCCTCTCACTTGGGATGCTAATACATAATATACAGTATTTCAAAGTTGGCTATAGTAGGAAATAATTGTTCTCTGCTTTGTATTTTCCTGTATCCAATTACACCTGGCTTGTCAGCAGGTAGGAGATGTCGAGGACTAACAACAACAAAGGTTCAAAGCGTCAGTGATTGACAGTGATTCTCAACAAATTTGTCAATGAGAGTTGTGATTACACTATATACGCTACAAAATATATCCTAAGATTCATTGTTTGCCTAAATCGAGGATGTAGAGACTGTATATACCATGATCCATTTTTAAGTTACTTGTCCCTGGGGACACAAAACTCAATCAGGTCAGTTTGAAGAAGGCATGTTTTCTCCTTGTTTGTATTCTTTGCACAACATATCTGTATTTTCTTCCAGTGACTCTCCCTTGCCTGTGACTTCACGTGTCTGTTTTGTAAAGTTCCTTGAGTCTGAGTCGGTGGGAGTTTCCCAACACCTGACGAACACCGTCTTCGTGGACCGAGCTTTGATCGTGGTCCCTTTTGCTGAAGGTGGGTGTCTGCTTTATTACTCTCCTGCTCACATGGCTATCTCTAAACATACATCCCAATGTGTAGGTTATTTTTGATAGAATTGCAAACACATTGAGTTATTTTGTGACCAAGAGAAATTGCTAAGCTTCTCAATGCTTGGCATTATTAGGTATATACAAGGGAAATGTGAATTTGTGTCCATGTCTGACAATCTAGCTGTAAACTTCTCTCTCTGTTATTTGTGTTGTGGTTTCATAGTGGACAAGTCATTTGCAGAGAGCCCCTTCCTTGCTGGCTGAAAGTGGTCCTCTGCTGCCATCAGGAGATTAGAAAAAATAATGGCACCAGGCTCGCAAGCCCCCTTCTCTCTCTTGTTCTCCAGTAAAATATTAATTCTTTATTTTGTTTCTCTCTGTTTAAGGCATCTTTTTTTTTTTTAAAGGATAGCCACACAACTCTTAAGCAAAATGAGGGGGTGGTGGGAGAGGGTGCAGGGAAATCTCAATACCTCACATGTTTAAATACATTTTACATTTAAATACATTTCAATGAGCAGCACCAGACTAGGGATGCCCCGAGCAGATCTGCTGGTTTGTATCGAGGCAGATCAAATCTGATCAAGACATATTTAAATGTGTGGCTTTGACTTTGAATCATGCACACTCTCTGATCCTCTGTTTATATTTAAACCTTTTGCACGAAAGGAACACCAGTTGTTACAATGTTCCATTGTGCTTGAACCAATACGCATTCTGCAGCTGTTTCACAGCTCTTTTTTAAAATAAATATATTGTAAGAAATTTGTAGCATACATGCATGTAGTTTCTTTGCTGCAAAAACAATTAGCTAGCTGTAGGAAAACATTGATCCCTGCACATGCACTGCTGTTTTCAGTTGCTGGCTGATGAGACATATCTTTTAGGTTTATTGGGCAGGGCTATAGCGGGCACTTTGCTAATGTCTCCTAGCTCCAGGTGTAAATTGTCCCGCCCTAATAGATGTAATGGCAGTCTTACAGGTCCACTCGGTGCTAAAGAGAAGTCTAATCTGCCTAATACCTGATCATTTCTCCTGTGTGGGTGTTTAGGGCGTAGCCTTGTTTTCCTTTAATGCAGAGCTGTTTCCCAAACATATACAAACTGAATCTCCTTACTAAGTGTAATATGCTGCTGTAACAAAAACAATTTCCCAATTTGGGATCAATAAAGTACGATCTATCTATCTATCTATATTGGCTTGATTATAGCTGAATAATAAAGGAAAATATAAATATTGGATCGGGACATGGCAGAATGGATATATTAAATGGCTCAGATTGGGGTTAAATGTTCGGGGCATCCCTACACCAGCACAAAGCATGCAGGGTAGACGGACTAATCAGCTGTGCATGCTAGAATAGATTTTGAAGGTGTGTGCCATCCTCTACAGTTAGACTGAACAGGTGTTGTGGAAGTTGATTAACATGATAAGCGCACAAACTGCCTTTGGCATTTACCTGCTGAATGTGCCAAAGCCTTTTGATATTTTAAACTGCATCTGTATTTCCAAATTTTCCCTAACATACCAGATGAAAGTAGTTTCTCTGCTTGATGTTGCAGTACAAATGCTTTTTATTGACCCTCTCCACACATGAGTTGAGTGAATCTCACATTTAACAGTGGTGTTTCTTTTGTTGTTGTGTTTTACAGTTCTTTTTCCTGGTTCAGCCAGCCCTATATACCAGGCCCTCCTGAAAATGCCACCAACAGTTTTGTCTTCTGCAGCCTTATCCTGTTTCTCAAGTGTCCTTTCTGTTGTGTGGGCGCATGTGTGTGTGTGTGTGTGTGTGTGTGTGTGTGTCTCCCTCTCTCCCCCCCTTTTTATTTTTTTTTTTAAAGTAAAATGTCAGATTATAAATAGTCTGTTTTCAGATTGCACCATGGATGATCATCTCCATAAGATTGTCCCTTTAGATTTTCCTGTTTGGTTTCTTCAGCTCTGGGCACATTTGTCATGATTTTGTCACAGCTTTAATAGCCCTTTAATGTTAAGTGCAGTTTATCTTTGATATTGTTTAGTGCTTTTAGTGACAAACTGTTGGCTAAAATTTAGCAGTATTGTAGCTTGTTGGCAATACTTGATCTGGTCTCCAATTTTAAGTGTTTCTGTTTTTTGGTGGGATTGTACAAAGTAACCACCAACAAAAGCCCAGAAAAGGTAATATGTGTGAACCTTTTCTGTTTTAGTATAGGTAATGGTAAGTGATGTTGAAATGTATCCTTGTCTACACCCAAATCATGAACTTTGTTTTCTGTATCTCAATGTTTTTGTGTGCTTTATAGCGAAGCAGCCGGCACGAGTCGCTTGTTCATAAAACATCTAATGAAAGTTGAGAGCACATCCCACGGGACAACTGGCTGTGCTTGCTTACGTTTGGTTCATGACTTAAAAATCAAGTACAGGTGAAAAAATCTTGGCAGTGTTGACCACAGTGTGTATTGTGACTTATAAACTCATAGCTGCTAATCCTACAATCATACTTTCACAAAAAAAAGAGTCGGGGATCAAGATTTACAGACAAGACAAAAAAAGTGGATTTTTCATACTTTATTTTTTTACCTCAGAGTAGTAAGAGGAGGCTTGTCTGCAAGTCTTGTCTGAGTGTTTATCGATGTTTGCGCCATGCGTGTACTGAAATGTTTTTGTTTTTCTCCAGGAGTCATTCCTGATGAATCTAAAGCTATGTCGCTGCTCGCTCCGGCCAATGCCGTGGCAGGAATGATGCCGGGGGGGGGCCTTCTTCCCACACCCAATCCTCTGGTGAGCTTTGACTAACTTTGCATTGAAATTGTGATCGTTTCCTATTACTGTACATGTTTGCTTGATCAAAAGTGGCATAACATATATTTGAACAGTTTACATTCTGGGTTCATTAGTAGTTAAAACATATTTGAAAGACATCACCATGGACTTTCATTAACTGTCTCTATCGACAAATGAAAATAAGACAAATGATGTAATATTATAAATGTTTTTACCGGCCAGGCTTCTATGAGTTTTGGACATTTGTTTTTTAGAGGATGTAAACTCTTCTGGGTCTCTGATGAATTGACATTTGATTTATATTTATGTGTTGAAGAAGGTAAACATGAGCTAGATGTTGAAGTGGTTTACATTGTAAAGAGCATGTGTTGTTTCAGATGGGAGGGAATCCATTCGGGGGGCTTGGAGTTCCTAACATGGAGCAGATGGCTGCCATGGGAATGCAGGGCCCCAACATGAACCCCCAGGTGAGCACCTGCTCAGTCGCCCTTAGTCACAGCATGTTTAGATAAGATAATTTCCTTCTAAAAGTCATTTCCTCTTTGTATCTCTTTCAGGCTCTTTCTGCAGACTTCCTTAAGCTCATGCAGTCCATGGACCCAAAGTAAGAGACGATCCACAATCCTGCAGAATATGCAATCCTAAATATTTCTTTGAAGAGAAAAACTAAATCATTGATGGCATTTTCAGAATGAATCCATTAGCAGCCGGAATGGGCATGAATCCAGGGATGAAGAACGATGCCTCCAATAAGGAGATTGAAGAGGCCATGAAGAGAGTCCGAGAGGCGCAGTCTCTCATCTCTGCCGCCATCGAGCCAGGAAGTGAGTGCTCTGATCTTCTTTCATTCAGCAGGATAGTACTGCTGACGTCCTGTTCCATTAAATATTATGCTGCAATTTAATTCAGTCCATATTCAGTGGAATATGTGTTCTATTGTCTGAGTACATGTCTAAAATTAACAACCAAAAAAGATACAAAATAGTTTTGTTATTACATGACTATTTTTGGTACAAATATTAAGCCACTAGCGTCACCTATAGCCTTCCGAGACGTACTCACCAATATGAGGCTAATTTCAAACCCCTTGGTGAACATTATGTTTCCTACCATGAAGATGTATAACTTCTTTCACTGTTTTTGCAGATAAAAAGGATGACAAGCGTAAACATTCCCGCTCCCGTTCGCGTTCCCGGCGCAGGCGCTCCAGGTCTCGCTCAAGACACAGGTAAAGACAAACTGTTACTCGCCCTCTCAGATGGAAAAACGAAATGGATTGTGGCCTCTACATACAAGACATAAATAGAATATTTCATTACTGACTGAAGTTTTCTGTTATAAAATGTTGAATCTCTTAATTTCGGCAGACGTTCGAAGAGCAAATCTCGACGGCGGTCCCATTCGAGGAGCAGCAGGAGGAGGTCTAAGAGCCCCCGCAGGAGGAGGACTCACTCTCGAGACCGGAGCCGCCGCAGTAAATCCAGGTCAGCAGCTGCACTGATCCTCTGTACCACAACTTACTTTTATCGGCCACAAAGTGTGTCGACTAGTGCAGAGTCTGTGTTATGACTTTTAACGGCCACCTTTTGAATACACGCTACTTTGAAAAGAGCTACCAGTAGATCAAGTTTACTGCTGTTTTTTTGATGCAATGTTCTGCTGTTTGCTAATGTGGACCGTGCTTGTGTGGATTAGGGACAGGAGGAAGGAGGAAAAGTCCAAGAAAAGGTCAAAGACGCCTCCAAAGAGCTACAGCAGTGCCAGGAGGTCCCGAAGCATCAGTCGGTGAGTTTGAGCAGATAACTATTATTTAAGTAATTTTTCTATTGATTAACCAATTGAAATGGTAACAACGTCTGAATGTATACTATTGCTCTTTAATAAAACAACATTTATAAACATCAGACGGTCTCTTGAAATGAACCACTCTTTTGTAAGTAATTCACATTTGTATTGTCTAAATAGAATACAATAATATATTTTAAAACCTAATTATTAAGATGACTTATTACAATTTAAACAATACTTTCCTCAATGAGATTTTACATTCACAACAGAAAATAATTCTCATTGGTAGCAGTACATCATTTGGAAATGACAGATTTCTTAACAGATCTTTCTTTAATGTTGCTTCTCAGGAGGCACAGGCGAAGCCGAAGTGCAACTCGGTCCCCCAAGAAGAAGCTGTCCAGGTCTCCATCGCCCAAACGGTGAGTAGTTCAACACGTTTAACATTCAATGTAATAAATGCAGTTATTTTTAGTATACAAACTAAAAATGATACATTTGTCATGTTCACAGTCACAAGAAGGAAAAAAAGAAGGACAAGGAGCGTGAGAAGGAAAGAGACAGGAGGGAGGACAGAGATCGCAGCAGAGATGAGAGAGAACGCTCCAGCAGCAAGAAGAAGAAGAGCAAAGACAAAGAGCGAGATCGCGATCGCAAGTCTGATAGCGAGAAGGGAGACGTGAAGGTACATTAAGCGCCTGACATTACTATTAAATATAGTCCTAGGTGGCTACATTTCATGGGACTTTGGCTTGAATTTAAGTTACTTGAATTGTTTGGACAGGTGACCCGGGATTACGATGAAGAGGAGCAGGGTTATGACAGTGAAAAGGAAGGACTGGAGGAGGATGACGATGAGAGGAAGACCGACTCTGACTCCGCCTCAACCCCCACCCGCAAAGGCCTGGAGGAGATAGAGAGATCCGAGGGCCAAATCCCCAAAAAGTCCAAACTAAATGGAGACGACCATCACCAGGAAGACATGGAGATGAGCGACTAGGAGCGTCCCGAACCAGACCGTGTTTTCTGTCCACTGTCCTGTTTTATATTTTTAATATAGGCCACAACATGTCGGTGCCTGTTCACTCAAAGTTGAAAAGATTTGTTGTATTAACTGTAGAAGCATTGGGGTGGTTTAAACGGAAAGCAGTTCAATAATTTTTGTAAAGAAAGGAGAAAATATGGACTAAATATAAATAACATGCAACGTGGTTTTTAATTGTCAATGCTGTACTTTTTTAAGATCCTGTTGAATTTTCTTTTTGTTGCCTTTGTGTTCAAATGTTTTACTGGCAGTAAAATACTCAGCGTTTCCCACTAAAATGCTGTCTGTAAATATTTACTAGTCAGGATCAAGTCCTTTCTTCCCTCAGACTGTTAGTCCCTCACCACCCAGCACTGGCTTCATGCTCATGCTTTTGGTTGCCGAATCATTTTTGTTTAACTGTAATGCACAATGTTGTGTTCGTGCTGACCTTCCTATTTACAACTCTTTGTAAGTGTACACTGTAGATTGAAATGTGTTATTGCAACGAAGTCAGTAGGTTTTCCAAAGGAAACTAATAAAATTGGGTCAAACTGTCAACTTGTGTTGTCACTGAAATGTTTTACAGTTCTTCACTGTTGCATCATATCTCTCACAATAACCGCCCAAAAAATGCTAATTGCTTGATTAAACTTCGGGTTTTTGTAAGGCTCAAACCGTAGTATATAACGGTGTTAATTTAAGACGCCAGCATATGATTGAGGTTTTCATAAAATACACTAAATATATTTTTCTTCCTCATTGAACAGCAAAATTATGGACAGACGTTGCTAACTTTAGCTAGCAGCACTAGCATTGATAGAACGCGGTTGCCATGCAACTAGCAGTTCTATCAGCTTCTGAAGTCACATGACCAGGGTGAACCGAACCGACTATTCGGATTGGAACGTATCCCTTGACGTCGCGTACCGCAGGTGGGGTTGTGTGCCCCACCTGTTTCGGACGCAGTCTGAGGCCGCACACACCACCACAGGCCTACAATACCAACGTGACCCTTTCATTTGAGATAATTAAAAACTAAACTATGACCGTTTTTATTTCATTTTAAAGACATAATATACTATGAGTATTACATTGTTTTATTATACTATAACTTTTTTATTTAGTTATAGAAGTTATACTATGACTTGTTTACAATTGTATGACAAACTATATTATTTTCATGTTATATTTACATACTAACTATGACTAATTTAACTTTATGACTTGTTAACAATATACACTGACTTTTGAAATATTTTTGCAAGAGACTTTACTATGACTTAGATTTTTCAAAGACATTTTCTTTTGTCTATTTTATAGATACACTATTTTATGACTTACATTTCTTTTAAGCCATACTACCATTCTGACATTCCTATTACAAGAAATAAAACAAATGAAAATGGCAGGCCAAACTCTTAGAGATGTGCATTTTTTATGAAAATAGTGTTGCAGATTTATACAACAGTTTTTGCCCTACATCAGACATGTTGAATGATGAATTTCCTACTTGAAACATGGACAATTTAAATAGCTTAAAACTGCCCGTACTGAGGAATGTAATGCAAAAAACTAAAAGTACTGTATTTGATTATAGTGATACTGAACATAGAATCAAAAAGGCTAATTGTTTACACTTTAACCTTCACATATGTAAACAGGAGCACCTGTCGTTATCGACGTTATTGAAAGCCCATGAATTACAGCAGCAGCTATAAACACTCGTGAAGGGTTCAACTTTCCAGAGGAAGCTTTGTGCTCTGGGTTTGTCCCCTGTGGAGAAGATTGTCCGGTCACAAACCTGAAGGAGGTTCATAAGGTTTATCAGAGATTGGTTAAATAATGACAGAAGAGTTAAGTGATTCACTGGTCCTTTAAAACATTACAAGTATGTACAAAATCACAACTGCCACCATTTTACAAATCAACAAATTCTTGATTAACTTTTTCTACATAAAAAAAAAAATCCACAAGTCTCCCTAAATTCATCAGCACAAAGAATAATAAAAGAGAACGTAAAAGACAAAAGCTCATAAAACATGTATTTACATATTGTGCAGGGGAAAAGCCTGGTTCTTGTTAGGTGTAAAAATGGCATGAATGATGTAGACAGTCTTGTATTTGCTAATATCTTCTTGCTATACAATCCCCAGTCCCCTTCCTTAACAAGATTGTGAAGTTTGTTACATAGTTTACAAAGGTGTAGTATGAAACAAAAGGCTTAGACATCATTACTTACACTTGCTGCCACTCAAACAAATAAAAAAACGTTTTGTTACCACAGAAATTGCAGCATTTGTAGCGTTGCCACGATGAAACTATAATATTTTAAAAAGCAGGATTAAGTGTTGGGTTTCACAAAAAAGTTTATGAACTCAACTGAATGTAGTGGATCTAAATAGTGCCCGAAGGTTCAGTGATGCTACTCCATGCCCAATAAAATCAATGTTACACATACTCGCACACAATTTAAGGAATTCTGCAAAAACGGATTATTAGGAATTTCACTCAATTCCCAATAATGATTTTAATTTCATCTGTTTTTGGAGCATCTTTCAGACCTGTAACAAATTATAAAGGTCTACTGAAGCAAGAAAAAGGACCCTAAAAGTCATTTTTGGCAGAATCCCTCCCCAAAATCTTACACAGTAATATCATTGCATTACTACATATCAGTTAAACATATTCCCTTTATAAACATTACTTACACACTTAAATACATAGCATCAACTGAACTGTACTTATACCCCATTTACAGAAAACCCAGTTTAACTTCAATGCCCTTTAATTGATGTGACTGGGATTAAACCCACTTGAATGTGAGAGTACTGTAACACTGAGCTTTTAAAACACTGTTATTATGAGGCGATGTCGACCTCTCTGCAGCAGCTGTCGTGATGTAAAACTCGTTGCAGTTTGTGTTCAGGGATGGGATGGGCGATGGAATTATTTTCAGTTTAGTTTTAAAAAAGTATGTCTTGTGGCATGATGTTGCCTTGTCGCACGTTTCTTTTCCTGTTCCTGCTTGAGATGTTAAAGGTCAGGGAAGCGGCTAGGGTCTTCTTTATACTCGTTGGGAATGGTAAAAATGGTCTGATCGAACTCATCGTAGCGAAACTCCTGAAACGTGACGGTGGCTGTGATGGTGGGAAACACTGGGATGTCTGCAGAGAGACACAAGAGGAATTACTAATTGAATCTGTGGAAATCTTACAGGCATGCTTTTATTTTGTAAGAGCTGTCAACGGTAGATTTCCTTCCATATTTGAAATGTTACTTCCACTCACCCAGTTTGACAGGAAAGCCGGGGGGGAGCTTCATCTGAACAAACTCCCTGAGTTTATTAAAGTGCTTGAAGGGTGCAATGACCTCCAGAACATTCAATAACCTGAGGGAAAACCACCAAAGCACATAAACAAATTGCAGGTTATAGAAAGAACACTATTGAAAATAAACGTACATCTGAAATACAGGCTATTGTATTTAAATGCTAACAAGTCTAATTATAATTGCTTTGATTTGTTTATATTTTCTTACATTTTTAATATCCAATTACTTATTTCAATATTCAATTGAGTATTTATTAACAGTATTAACTGCTTTCATCAACACCATTATATTATAAGCTTGAGAGGATAGATCTGTAACACATTGCGGAAACACAAACATTCAGAAACAAATGCATTACTCTTTTTATCACCACTCTGCTGAGAAGATAACATGAGAGCATTTTGTCCGTCTGCGTTTTAATAGCAGTCTGGAGGCTGAGTTAGGAGCAGACTTACGATTCGATGCCCAGAGGGAAGTCTTGACTCATGGCTATCGTGGCTTTGAAGTTCTTCTTGCTCTCTTTGCAGACCAGCTCTCTTCCTAGATGTGGAGCTCTGAGCGGAGAGAGAAACGACAACCTGTCAGAACGTCATCTCATGCTGAGGAGCTCAGAGATCTTTCACGAAGAAATCTTTTTGATGGAAGTAACTCGCCCTGCCTCGTGTCTCATTCTCTCAAACAGAAACTGAATGTGACTCTTATCAGTGAGAAGAACACCAGCTTTGAAAAGTGCAGTTAAACTTTCTGTGACTCTAAAATGTAGGTGTTTGCATGGGAAGATTAAATTCAAAGAAACATTCGATGTGAGCGAGAAGATAATATAAGCTACAATGGCTTCAGAAATGTACTTCTTTCATTCACAAATACAACAGGTCTATGATTTACAATACCATTAGTGCTCATAATGGTTCTGTAAAACCTACTTTCCGTTGTCAGCACTGATGTATTCTTCCCAGGATATGGTGTTGGGTGAGGGGGCCGTTAGAGATTGCCTCCTCGCCGGCTGAGGAGCAGAGAGAAAACAATGTTTGTGTTTTGTTGTGTTAAAGGCATCTAAAGACTAAACTGCTGCAGGGTCACACACAACAGACACAACAGTGGAAAACAATGGTACACAAACAAATAAAATGTCATAATGATTCAACTGAAAAGAGACAAACATTACATTTAACCAGGGTGTTTTAAAATGGGTCGATCAAATATACCAATATCAGCTCAACAGCAGATCTGAAACCTTAGTTAAAAATCTCTTAAATAAAATTAAATATAGAATTTTACAGTTTCTCTATCACTCTGCCACCATTAATTCCCACAGAGCGATGACATGTACAGCCCAGGCCTGTAGGGGGCCCCGCTGCCTCACTAAACGCACTAACCTCTGTTGGGCCTTTACAGCCTCTCAGATGAAGTGAAACTGAAGTACTATAATTAAAGACACCACTAAACAGCCGATACCTGAGACATTAACCTATTTCAGTGTTCTTTAATCTATTAAAGTACAAATTCCCCTAACTTACTGAAAAGCAGCATTTTTGCTCTTAACCCTTTTTGCATTCACACCTTTCTACAGCAGCAGAAAACAGCCAGAAAGAGAAGCATTTAAGACTCAGACAGCTGTGTCGATACAAAATGAATGTTTGTTGTCCTGGGAACAACTGAGGATGAGTACAAATTTCGGTATTGACTTTTTGTTGTTTACTTTCTTTGCTCCATTGCAATTTTGCTTGCAGGAGAAAGACCGAAGCATGACGGTTGATGAGGTGGAACGACAAATACAAAAAGGCAAACGAATAGCTAAATAGGAGCGCCTGAACATTATGAGAGAGGCCAAGTTACCCTGAATGTGATAATAACCCATGGCTGTAACAACTACAGAAAAGCACCCCTTATATGATCAGAATCAGTGTTTACATTAAAATGGACAAATGTGTAAGCCAAAGGAGGCAGAGAATACACTTGGATGCAAACAGTCATAAATTGAACAAAAATCCAACAGGTTTTTCCGACCAGTTTTGTTATCAGCTGTGTCTCTATCCACCAGCAAAGCAAATACACCTCTCTAGAGCAGTGGTTCCCAAACTTTTTGTGCCCAAGGCACACCAAAGGACAAGTAAAAATCTCAAGGCACACCTATTGTGCAAAATAGCCCTAAAACACGTGTTATCACTCATATCATGTAAAATATCTGTAAATGTGCATAATTATTTACTAATGCCAAATAAAATGTG